GTATATAAACGTCAAATCACTATGTTGTACAACTGAAACTAATATAATTCTGTATGTCACTATAGTGCAATGAGAAAGAGAAAAAAACTATGAATAACAAATAAATAAATAATAAAAATAAACTGGCATAATAGAATGAATACAGTTGAAATTTCGATCCATGGTTGGTTGAATCCATGGATGTGAAACACACGACTATGAAGGGCTGACTGCATTCCCTGTTTAAATAATGCTACACTGAACTACTTTTTTGTGCTTAACTTATTATCTTCTTATAAAACATTCCAAAAGTGGAATTACTGGTTGAAGTTTATGTGAATTTAATTTTTTTAGGTATATGGCAAAATTGCTCTCTAAAAAGTTTACACACCCACTAACAATACCTTTTCACCAGTAATTAGTATTAAATTTTTACTAGTCTTCCTTGTGAAAATGATATCTTATTTAAATTGTATTTCTATAATTATCAATACAATTGAAATTGCACAAATTTCATATGCTTACTGATCTTTTGTGGTTCTTCTTTTAATTGCCTGTTCAGGTCTGTTGCCCATCTTTCTGTTGTATTGTTCATCGTTATATGTCAAGGAAATTGACCACTGCTTTTACATACTTGATACTGATATGTATTTTTTAGTTCATGATTGTCTTTAAATTGTATTATTATGTTTGTTTCACATAAGAAAGTTTAAATTTTTTCTAGTCAAGTCTGTCAGAATTTTTGCTTATGTATTCTTTATTGTCATGTTTTAAAAATCCCTTTTGGACCTTCAAAAATTAAAAAATGTTCACCTACAATATTTCAATATCTAACAATATTTCAATAATTCCTTTTTGTTTTTTTATTGACATATTTAATCCATCTGGAATTTATTTTGGTTTCAACTAGTAATTTAACTTTATTATCTTTTCCAAATGAATAACGAGTTGTTCTGACACCATTTAATGAATAAATCATCATTTCTTTACTGATTTAGAATGACATATTACATGTGCAGAGCCTGTTTTTGGCTTTTCTGGTCTCTTGCACTGATAGGTCTATGCTGAGTCAATACCAAACTGTTGTAATTATTCTGGCATTATAATACTTTAAATGTCTAGTAGGAAAAGTCTTATTACTCTTCTTTTTCAAAAATATCTTGGCAATATCACACATTTTATTCCTTTAGATAAACTTTGGGATAATGTTGCCAAAATTTTGTTTGGATTGGTTTAAATTTATAGATTTGACTGGGGAAAATACTGGCATCCTTGCAGTATTGCATCTTCCCATCCAGGAACACTGTACATCTTTCCATTTAATTCCAGTCTTCTTTTACATACCTAGATAAAGGTGTTTTGTTTTGTTTTGTTTTTAGTTTTGTTTATATAGGCCCTACACTAACACTCTATTTATGCAGCATGAGAAGTCCTACTTCTTCAGTCTTCTCTATAGGTTCATAATAAAGATGATGACTTGACCCTCTTTTCATTTGCATGATGTGTTGCCACAGATGGTGGGTAACTCCCCTACTTTACCTCCTCAGCTCCAAATAGGATTTTTCACAATGAACAAATTGAAAAAAACCTAATCAGACGTTGACCTCAGCTCATACTGCATGGCAGCACCAAAGGGGCTGACAGAAAACAATAGAAATGGGGAGTCTCTGGAGAAAATATCTGAAGCCTGTCCTGTGACCTTTGTTTCTGCTGGAGCTTTGAATCAGACTTAAGGTTTATGATGGAAGAATAGGACCCACGAAGAAAAATGCAGAACACTATCAGGCAGTCAAGAATTTCAGAGCCAGCTGGCATGCAGAGGGCCTCATATCAGTTCATTATGTGACCATTCACAGGGATAAAGGGTTTGAGCTGTTCTAATAAGAGAGTTATCAAGTATTTAAATGTGCGATCTGTTTGTAGTTCTAGAGTTTGGACTTACCTCCTTCAGCATGTGAGAGGGGTTTTTATGTTTTGCCAGAGTTTTCGCAATGACATTTTTTGTGAGACTGATTATAGGTTGTTGATAAAATTTTGCTGTTGGCGGTCAACAGTGTCAAAGAGCCAGGTGTAATGTTTGTAGAATCTGTGGAGGAGAAGAAGATGGATTGTAGTTTGTGTTCTCTATGTTAATTATTCAGTCACCTTGGCTACAGCATGGGAACAGAGGACCTTCTAGGACCATCTTGGAGCAGGCCCAGATCCCATTTACACAGTTCTTTTGTCAATTGAGAAGGCCATACACTTACTAGACAATAAACAAAGATACTTAACATCCTCAGAGTGCTCAGTCTTGAGACTACATCCACCCACAACATGTCTCCTTTGGATGCATTTACTAGATCTTGTGCTGGCTCTACCAATTTCCTGTGATTTGGAGCATGTCATTTCAATACCTTGAGGCCATTTTCACAACTGAAGAGTCAAGCAGTACTTTGGGACATTTTATTAGAAGGCTTTTAAAGTCCTTTACAGATCAAAGATTATCTATTTTTAATAATATATAATTATTATGTATTATTACCAATGGGTCAAAGCTACAAGGAGACAGACACTGAGTTTCCTGGAAGTAAGAGCTTCATAACAGAGTCCAGAAATGAAGTGGGCTGAAATTCAAGAAAAGGTGGGGCAGGGATGATATAGAGGGGATTCAAGCTTTTTATGGAGAAGTAGGGGTGGTGTGACCAGTGTTTAAAATTCTTTCCAATATGTAAGATTCATAGCCTTATGGACTATGATATGGAACAAATAAACTGTGTGGTGCCATGCAGGTCAATTTCATTTTAATGAGCATCATTTTCTTCAGCTATATAATGCGGTATATAGTAATCCCTGTTATACTTAATTTGTACAAGATTCTTATTAACTTTTGTAAGCTAATCAAATGGGATGGATTTTTATTTTATTATGTTTTATATTAGGTTTTAATTTATTATTACTTTATGTTATTATATGTTATTTATAATACATAAATAAATAGGTATTATATAGTAGAGTGTAAATGTAACCTTTATATGCACTAGGAAACCAAAAATTCATGTGACTCCCTTTACTGGCATATTCACTTTATTGCAGTAGTCTGGAACCACACCCACAATATGTCTGAGGTCTGCCTGTAGTCTTGAGGTTTGCAGCAGCACTGATACTGTGGGGGTGTCCCAGGTCTAGAAATACCCACAGCACTGGAAATGAACCCACTGGAATTTGGTACAGGGCCTGCCTTCTAGGAGTTGACACCCAAAGGCTATATGGCAATCATCAAAGCACCATCCATTCTGTGCACATATTACAGTCCTCAGTTTGCAGCAGAAAGAAGCTGTTAGCAAATTATGTGTTCTATTTATACAAGTAAAATCCTGCAGTATGGTAGAAAGGGTATTGGCCTAGAGGCCTTAGTTTTTTCATTGTTGAGTGAAAGTGATGACAGTACCTACCTCAAAGCATTGCCAAGGCGATTTATTTAAATAGCATATGTAAACCCCCTCACACAGGCCTTGTTCATAGTAAGTGCCTATTAAATGGTAGTTTTTCTTCCTTAAGGTGCCTCCAATTCAGTGTTCTTCGGGCAAGTCACCTCCCCAGAACTCATCCTTGGAATGAAAGTGTTGTCCTGGGGTGATTTTTAATAGTTCCTTCAAGCCCAGCATTTCAGAGTCCTTTGACAAAGGGAAGAGAAAGAGGGAGGGAGGGAGGGAAGGAAAAAGAAAAGGGGAGAGGAGGGAAAAGAAAATTTTGCTAACCTGGTTACAATGAATCTCCTACAAAAAATAACCTACTACAATAGATGTGACTGTAATGTAAATTTTAGACTGAGTGAAGAGAGAGGAAAGCTGAGCTATAGCTAAATTTGTGGGCTTTTTCCCCGATATCAAATAGCAATTGTGCTTCATTTTTTATTCCTTTTCTCTACCACAAACATTCTTACTCTGCCAAAAGAAGCCTCCTTAAAATCTCGGTCTATCCCATAAAGTAAAGCACAGAAGTAAATGAGAGAAAAAATACCAAGGACTTGGAGAAAGAAAGGGGTGCGATGAAGGGATGCACAGGCTCAGGCTGGGAGGCAGGGCCACAAGTGTAAGTTCTGCATGTTTCAGAGCATCAGGGTATGTACCGCTGTCTATTTCTGCTGGTGACCCTATGTGCCTCTGGATCTCTCTGTTCCACTTGAGTATTCATTCAGTCAGTGTTTATTGAAGGCCTACTGTGTGCCAGGCCTGTGCGAGGAGCAAGGAGACAAAATATTGAGTGAAATATGTGTTTCTGAGTGGACCTCCATGTTTTTCTTTGAACAGCTATAATCCTAAGGATTTCTGAGTCTGAGAATGTGTGTGGTGTGTTTGTGTGTGTATATTTCTGTGTATCTCTCACAACTTCACATGTGCATGACAGTGATTGTTTTTCTTCTGCTATCTTCAGAGGACTTCCTTTCATTTGCTGTGTTCACTTTGCAAAGAGTGGGCTTTATCTGTTTGATTTTTACAACATGAAGGATTGAGGGTATGATCACTAATATTTTAAAAACAATTAAAAATCACATGGAGTTCTCTTTTATAGAAGGCTTAATTGTATTATGAAAAATAAGCATGTTATTAGCTCAAGTATGATCCTATGATGATTACAGAAGTCAGGAGAAGGGAATATTGCCTGAGCCCAAGTCTCTGCTATGCCATGCTAAAGGAGTGACAATTTCCACCATATTTTCTCATGGACATTATTGACTTTTAGTAAAGAGCATCTTATTTAAAAAGCCAGTATGTAATCCTAATAAAGGAGTATCAGCAGGACCTGAATTGTTCATCCCTTTGAAAAACACCTATGAAAACCAAACAATATAGCATTGAATTAAGCCATCCTGGTTTAATAGTTAGAGTCTTTGTGATCAAATTGTATGGGACCATTTTCTATCCACTTCTCTCATTGGGCAGGGTATATCCTCACACCTTTTCTGCCTAGAAATACTTTCCAAAGAGACTCTGGCAACACATTAACAGGACTGTCTACTCTTATATTTGTTCTCCCAGGAAAACAGAAGTACCTGTGTGCCAGCAGAAATGATTGCACCATCGATAAATTCCGAAGGAAAAATTGTCCATCTTGTCGCCTCCGGAAATGCTATGAAGCAGGGATGACTCTGGGAGGTACAATATTTTTCTTCCTCTTTCTGCTTCTTCCTTTCCCTCCCTCATTCTCTTATTCTCTCTTTAAACCAGATTTTCCTCTTTGATGCTTCCATGGAGGCCAGCCATGCTCTAGATACAGGCTGACCCCTTCATATCCTATGTGGCCATCAGCCAGCTGGTGCTTTTCTTTATCTTTAACCATGCCACACCGCACTGTGGGGCTCAGCATAGGAGCAGGAGGTATGAAGCAGGGATCAGGACCCATCAGAGGGTGAGTGAGTGTGGACTTGACTATGAAGGGTTCCCCAGGGGACATAATGGTACTGACCTTCTGTTGTTAAATGGTGGCTAGGATGAGAGAACTAAGGAATCCAGAACAGTCACAGGTGCAGGATGACCCAGGCACAGGCTGGCCCTGAAAACCCAGGAATATCCCTCAGTTAGCTGCTGCCTGTGTTGTGGAGTTGGCCACCTGGAATGAGAAGCTGCTTTTCTTTGGAGCCTATGACTAGGCTGCCAAGCAGAGCCAATTTCCTATCCCACATCTCCCAGGGATGAGCAGGCCTTTTAATCATTTCATTTTGTTTGCAAATCTATTGACCATTTCCAAAAGCATTTTTTTTAGTAGCAGAGTAACTTGACAGAACGAAGATACAGCTCTTTCAAGGGTAATCCCCCATCGTAATGCTCTCTGTCCTTTATTCTATGTCTACCATAATTGTTGTCACTATTACAGAAAGGTTTGGCTGACACTTACATTTTCCCCCTTCAAATTCCTCATTTCTTCATGTTTATATCTACTCAGTGCCAGGGTCCTCTCTACTGCCTGCTGCTTCCAAAAACATGCACCTTTCATGAGAAAAGCTAGCTTATTAGTCTACTTTGATTTGGAAATTTGAAGAAAGGCAAACCTGTTTCTGAACACCTGAAACTGTAGCCTCATATCTGATTACTTATTATCAGCCTGGAAAACCCAAGTGTCTATAATTCTGCCCTCTCCCCTCCCCTTCTCAAGGCTGATTTAGAGTACTTGTTTATCATTGGCTTTCTGCAAGGTGCTTAATACCTTGTCTGCCTATGTGCATATTTACAGAAACCAACATGGTTGTTTTCTAACCATGTGTGGGTCTTCATGTGGGTAACTGTGTCCTCCCCTCCTCACAGGCTAGTGATAGTCTTTAAACAGACCAAAGTACTAAAAATGAATTGACGCAGATTCAGCTTGAGACAGCCTCTCAAGTAGTGTCTAGTACTCCTAGACATTGCAGCCAGATGCTCTGTGAGTGGTTTTCCAGGCAACCACATCAAATGAGATTCAAATAATATGAGAAAAGTCAACTTTGTTCTTCTTTGCTTGGTTTACTACAGAAAAATCCTATAATTGTGGTCTACAGTGGGGAGGAAGAAACAGGATTGGGTGTGGAGGGAGAGGGCAGAAAGATAGCCAGGAAAGTTGACAAAGGGGTTGACAAGATGAAGTGTTCTCCATATGAATGTTGTCACAACATTCATGGTGGGGGGTCACCCCATGGTGAGGGTTCTGATACTTTGGACTCTCAATTATTTAGCCCTCTGTGAATTATGTATAAGATATGGGGGCTCCCAGGTATGGAAAACTTTTGCTTAGTTTTCCATCTGCTGATATGAATTGCAAGCCGCTTTGACACAGGTAAAGTTTAATGGTAACAAAAGTCCTCATAACATTTGAGCCCAAATCGTAAAATTAGTTTCATGTATCAGCTAACATCCTCTGTTATAAAGCAGACTGTGACATGATTACAGTGAATCTCTTTTGAAAAGAAGTTTGTGTATAACAATTTCACTATTCCATATAGCAGTCTGACATAAATCTGTAAATTAATTTCTTGAAGAGAGTGGTAAAGTAAGTTTTCAGATTGATTTATTAAAGTGTTCAAATTTGAATGGGCTTGGTCAATACAATGAAAAGAAGCTGAGAAGTGCTGTGGCTGGCTTTGGTTTCAGTTCCCTTTTTACATTTACTGAGTGTCTGCTATGTACAAGGTACCATGCTAGGCAATAGAGCTTCAGGCAGGCAAACTTCCAGAAATGTCCAAAAACTACAAGGATTCTTGATGTCCTGTAAATGATCTTGCCTTTGGAGTCAGGCAGACCTAGGTTAAAGGCCCAGCTCCATTATTCACTGTGCCCCTTCTAAGCTTCAATTTCTTCATCTGTAATTTAGACATACCATTCTTACAGAGCTATGATAGGGTCAGATGACATGATGAATGTGAACATGCTTGGTAAATGGCAAAGTGCTAGACAAATGTGAGGACTTATTATAATGGTAAGGTCACTGGTAATTTAGCTGGTAAGGCTCTACACAGCACTTCCCAGTTGGCTTTAATCCTGAGTTACTTAGCATGCCCTATAATATGTAATAGCTCCAACAGGCAGACCATCACCAGAAATCATCTCAAAACAAAAGTACCATCAAGATCCTACTTGGAAGCCGATTCTAGTAATTAAGGGAATTATATATTATGTTCAAGTACCACGTCAGTAAAAACCCAAATGTTTACCCTCTTAGACACCATTGTTTAAGAAACAAACCTTTCCATTTTGCTAAACTTATCTTCACATTCCTTGCTTCCCTGCTGCAAACCCTTCCCAGTTTATTGTTAACTTGCAAATTCAGTGTATACTATACCTTTACTCAAACAATGGAAAAAAGAAAGCAAGCATCAATACAGTGATCCTTCTGAATACATTGGTAATAGACATACTTTTTCACAAGATGTGGGTTTAGCATCAACATTTTGATCACCTTGAAGGAGATTTTGGGTAATTTTGTTTTATTTTTCCCATCACTCTAAAATTGTATAATATCTTCCAAAATGGCAACTAAGAATGTAGCTTTGGTCAAATCCCTTCTCCCATCTGAGGCTCATTTTTCTCATCATAAAAACGAGGTAGTGGGCTTCACCAAGGACCTTTTAGGCACTACCATTTTGTGATTCTATGTCTAAAGTCACAGAGAAAGGATTGTAGATGTATCAGCCCTTTTTTGGATTGTCTATTCACTGTTCCAGAGGTATAGATTAGTCTAGACTTGAGTGCATTGACTTGCATAGTAATTTTAGCTACCTCAAGTCACACCTAAATAAGATATATCATGTGTCTAGACTGTATGGATAGGTTATTGATGGAGTAGAGGGCAGAAGGACTGTCTTTATATCTTAGAGAAGCTGGCACTCTGCGGCTGATGGCTGCTTGGTCTTGATGCCTCAAGGTCTCTAATTTGGCTTTCTCTTTAGTGTTCCCTCTATGTTTGGTGATGGAATGTCCTCAGCTCAGAGATACTTAAAACACATACCCTTTTCCTTTTTGCTTCTAGGCCTATCTACCTGTTGATTCTTGTTATCTTAGCAGCTCTTGGTGTTTCTGAAAGGATCCTGGAGGTGGTTGGATTCTCAGGGTGGTTTCCTTAAAGCCTACCTTCAGGCTCTCAACTGCCCATCTACAACAAGGATAGGCCTTTCTTTGAACATGGTTCATTTCTGGCTGCTTTTGAAAAGCCACATGTTGCTAATTGCTTCAATAATCTAACCTCCTTGCCTACTTTTTGTTTAAGAAAATTTTTAAAATATAAACTTCCAAAGAAGCACCTTCTCCCTGATGAATTAACTGCTGCTTTTTCACAGTTCATAATTAGAATAAATATACAGCCATTTCTTACTTTTCTTTGCACTTCTCAAGGATATACTTCCAGTTTCTAAGATGGAATAAGAAAGAAAGAATTACCTTTACCCGCCATATTCTTCCCTGACCCTTCCTTCCTTCTCATTTTCTCTCCTATTCCTCCCTAAACATTATTTCTTTCTGTGCTATGCAACTTTTGAGTTCTCAACCTTTAATAAATGGCTTTGGCCCCTGCCCACTCCCTCCTCTCCTGAAACATGGAAAATGGTAAGCCTTTTAGGAATTTCAGGTAACAACCAAACCCCAGAAGAGGAGAAGAAACATGGAGCCCCAGAGCATGTGAGAATCTGAGATGTGCAGCATTTTCTTCAGAGGTTACTCTAGCATATTTGAGAAGTCTCGTTCTTACTAGGAGGCTGAACTCCACATCTGAGACTCAAAACTGTTAACAGATCTGTGGGTTTTAACAACCTCCACGATTCTCTAGTTGAGAGGATGGCCTGGTCTGATGTTGCCATGGACACTATGAACATCCTTGTCATTTCCAGTGTTGAAGAGAGCCTTGACGTCAGCTCTTTCATCTTTCCCCATGCTCACGAGCAGCCCACCATTACTTCTGGATCACATGCCCTGGATGCAAGAGAGTGATTCCAATGCTGAAATACCACTTCATGGCTTTGTTCTTCAGCGGAAAAGTTTCACAACATTTATTCATCCATCAAACTATCCATTCATCTTTCCTACCAGCCAACTAGCTAGCCCTTTCATCTTTCCATCCATTCACTCATATATTTATCCCTTTAACACATATTAATTGAGTGCCAACTATGTGCCAGCTTCTGTGGTAGGCATTTTGGGGGAACATAGGTGAATGAGATACAATTCCTGCCTTCAGAAAGTTAAACAAGGGGAGACAGACCGTGATAACTAATACACCTTAACTTTAAAGGCTAAATAGGAAATGAAGAAGCTGGGAAGAAGTTTAGTGAGGTAGAGGGAAAGGACATTCAAGGCAAAGGGCACAGTTTGAATAAAGGCAGAAAGACATTTAAAAAATTCATTGAGGTTTTGAGGAATAGCACAAGTAGTTTAATATGGCCAGATCTGGCGAAAGGGGGAAGGCAAGCTGAAACCACACTGAAAATGTACTTGGTTATTATGCTAAAAGGTTTGAACTTCAGGCAGTTGAAGAGCTATGACACGGAATAGACATGTTCACATACCATTTTGTTTATTTGCATGCTTGTTTTTTAAGAGAATTAGCGATGACATGAATGCTGTATAGATGAGGGCTTAAATTTTATAAAAAGAGATAGTATGCTAGGTAGAAAGAGAGAAAGAAATTTCTAGCATTG